TAAAATAAGCTGGATTTTTAATTTTGCAAAATACTTGAAGCCATTATGTTGAAACGCTTTTAATAAAATTTTCAACCATATCTGAAGAAACATTCATCTCGAGACATTTCTAAGATAAAAATCCTACAAGCCCCTTTTTCGAAAACAACTAACAATGTAATAGACAGGCATATCAGTTCTGATATGCGTCAAAGAAACACGTAATACTTTAAGTTTCGTATCAAAACACTTCTAAGCCCATTTTATTTTTCATTTTTAGGTTATAAAGTGGTTTTTTATAATACGTTCTTCCAAGGATACTACTATAATATTGCATGCAAGCAGCTGTATTTGCAAAATAGGTATTGTTTTCTGTGATTGCAGTCATGGTAGTATGTTATACACTTTTTCCCGCTTTCACATAAATTATAAAGGTAAGCGTATTGTGCTAAAAGTCCAGTGTTGTTAAGCGTGCTTAGAAGCTTTCTATATTTTCCTATTTATTTAATTTTTCGAACGCCGTGTAACAGAAATGCTGTTTCACGAAATTTTTAAACAGATATCCTTACACAAAGTATGATTCGAATGCTACTTCCGACTTCAAAAACTATTGTTTATTTCGATTGTGTGACAAACCAAGAGGGAAACTAATTCCTACTCACATTGCCCAACGAGAAAATGGCGGAAGTTCCCATGCAGTTAGCTCGTTTACCGGGACTCGAGCTGGGAACCAACCACTGATATTTAGCTGACAGCTAGACGATTGCATAACTTTAAAGATGTGTGACTCAATATTTACCGTATTTTCTCGAGCATTCCCCCCCCCCTAATTTCTCAGCACCACTTTCTGAAAATTTTGAAAATATTTTCGTAATTTCTCTCTTTGACTACATACGTATTGCTTTCGTCTTACTAATAAAGACACACCCCCGTAATCTAGCTGTTAAGTCACGCCTAACTTTTCCCCTTGAACGTTATGACGGCCTAATACAAGAAGCGATCCATCCCAGCGAAGCAAATACGAAGTTGCATTCTGTCTACGATTTCCCTGAGTCAGCTGCACATTTATCTTCCCTAATTATTGATGGATAATTCGAGGCCTAAGGAATAGCAGAGAGAATAATAAGAATGGGCAAGAATTTTACAGGGGAGTAGAAATGAAGATATCTTATTAGATAGAGTAATGATAGAGTAATGCTGGTATTACTATGTATTTTTCTAAGAATGTTAGTTTCTTTTAGAAAGATAATATTTGCTGTGATAGTTATCAATACTTTACCCACCAACAAATTCGGCTATTTGAAAACAGTGTGTTGACATTGCCTCAAATAGAGCACTTATTACCGCCTTACACCAGGGTGTTGCCATTCAACAAAGCTTCTCGAAACGACATTTTACGTCGGTTCACTATAAACGGCTTATCATAGTTTAAATTGTTGCCACTAAATATTATCGCTTTGTATCATAATTAAAGAAGTTAAATAATGAAGAATTTGTATGAATGTATGTATGTTTTTCGCATTATAAAAAATGACGATACCTAGAGCCATCAAATTCTAAATAACGTAATCCTCCACCCGAACATGGGCACCCAGAAGACCAAATTTTGAGTTTCGAATTTATTTTGTTAACTATTTCATATTTTGTAAAATTTTAACGAAATTTTATTAGAAAATTCAACGATTTCAAAGCGAGCAATGGCGATACTGTACGAAAAAGTTTTTTTTTTTTTTTTTTTTTTTTCTCCAACGCGTAAGACTCTAGGAAATTTTAATTATATGTTGTTTTTAAGCATATCTGTTGAACTGAAATTTATGTGGTTTAAGTGCGAAGAATATGATATTATATAAATAAAGGTAACACACAAAACGTTACAAAAACGCCCCTTTGAGCATGCATTTTTTACTATTTCAATTTTTTGAACTTTTTGAATCCTTGAAATGATATTCATCTCTCAAGAAAACCATATAAGAATTATTATACATCTTTTATTTCTTCAGTCTTCTTTTTTTCGGAATTCTTGAAATACTCGTAATATTCATTTCTCAGGAAACTATACATGAAAAATATTACACATCTTTTATTTTTTTCAGTTTTTTTACTTTTGTGGAACCCTTGAAATAATATTCATGTTCCAAGAAATCTACATAAAAATTATTATATGTCTTTTATTTTTCAGTCGTTTCAGTTCTGCGGAATCCTTAAAATAATACCCTACATAAATCCTTGAAATCCTAATAATATTCACAAATCCTTGAAATCCTAATAATTCTCCTAAACCTTGAAGTAATACCCTACATAAAAATTATTATAACTTTGAAAGAGAAGAAATACGTATGAAAAATTATCTGAAACAAAATTCAATCATAAACATTAATGAATTTTTAGAACTCATTTAAGCAAATACCTTTCCCAAGTGGCAGATAAAATTAATAAGAGCGCCAGAAAGTATGAACTGCGCATGCGTCGCTTTGTGATCGCATGAGTCACTCACATGAGTCACTCAACATACACAGTTTCATATTAATGCTGTGTAAACATTATTAAACACGTTTATAAAGATTACTAAGCTTTTCAATGATTGAAAGAAGTACTACAGTACTACGTAATATTAATTATCTATACATATTAATAAAGAAATTAAAATTTCCACACGTAAAATTACAATATTAAAACTTTTCTACATTACCAGTAGATATCACCAGCTCGGTAGCTCTTGTAATATACATGCATTAAATACTTTTTTCTCTCATTTGAAAGCGCAAATGACACCACCAATTTGTATTTATTTGAGAATGCATAATAATTTTCTTTAATTAAATGCCTGAGCGATATGATAATTTTCGCTAAATGTCTAAATTAAATGTGCGATAAATTAACTGTCATACTGTTACGAAATGTACAGGCGCGGTAAGATGGCTTCTCCGCAAAGCAGTTTTAGGGTAGCCATAAAATGGCAAGGGAAGGTAGGGTTGCCACATTTGGCGAGAAATCGCCCATTTGGCGACAAAATTGGCGATAGGCCATGGATGGATGGAAAACTTTCTGGAACGAATTCTTACCGGTTTAGCCCAGAATGTGCTCGAACACAAGCCGAAAGCTATATAAACCCGGCTGGTCCGCGTGTGCCTCGAGATGTGCGAGTTAGTCAGTCCGTGCGGAGTCGATCCAGTTGACAGACGGGCAGCGAGTGCCGAGTGGGTCGTCTAACTCTTATAATTAACCGATAAGATAAATTCTAATTCCATTTCTTGAGTACGCTGTGGTCTGCATTTAGAATAAATTCTAATGATTGCGATAAAATTTTGTAGTAACAAATATAGGTTGCAAATTTGTCTGTATGTACCTCTGCTTTTAATTTTTCCTTTTTTTTTAAAACATTTCGAGTTCGTTCATATCGTTTTAGATTCAGAAAAGAAATGCAGAAACAAACAGAGCTTTTAAAACTGAAATTCTTTTTTTGAGTTGAGTTTAATTTCATTCAACGGTAAAGATCTAGTTTCATGAGATGGTTGTTGTTGTTCCTAATAGCCGAAGTGGTCCAGCATTTTTAGACCAATTCCATGAGCCCGAATACCTCCAAAAAGTCTAAAAAGAGAAAGGGTTTCGAAAAAAAAAAAAAAAAAAAAAAAAACTTGTTCAAAGTAAAATTAAGGCGAAATAAAATCTGACCAGGTGATGCTTGAGCAGCATTGTACTTGGTGCAGGTTTTAAAAACTTTCTGCCCTCGTTCATAGGAGAGGGCCTTCAATTGCCCACTGGCAAAATGTGATATGTAAGTCTGCTGGTTTCTATGGCCTCCAAAAAGTAGGGCGCCAACAGGGTGAACTCTCGAGTACCAGTCAGGTACTGGAGAGACACTCCAGAGATCCTTAAGTAATTTCTCACTCTTGGAGAACACCTTATAGGTGAAAACATATCTGACTGGGAAATCTTTAGAGCAGCAGCCTTTCCCAGAGAGTCCGACATCTCGTTGCTACCGAATGCCCACATGAGAGGGAATCCACTGGATGTGCATTCCTGAATTAACCGAAAGCCTAGAAAGTAGAATTAAGAGGAAAGTGTTACGTCTTCTGTGGGCCATAACCATGAGATGGTAACTCACAGTAGGCATCCACAGTAGACAAGTTTGTCCACGGCTGTTTTGCTAACATTAACCGAATTATAACATTAAACTTTGAAAAACAAGGAATATTAAAAAAAAATTAAAGTCAATTCCTACTTAGGTATACAAAGAAAAATTTTAAAAACACACAAAATTAAAAAAAAGTTTTCAAAATACAATTTTTTTAAAATTAATAATTTTAAAAATTAATTTTTTTTTTGTAATTTAAAAATTTTTTAATATGTCAAAAAACTGTATTACACATCAAGTGTCATCCACTACAAGCTTAGAAAATGTATTTCAACTTGAGTGGATGAATAAAAAGTATTTTACTAACGATTGAAAATTAATTAATTAAATACACTTTTTAAAAATTCTTACTTAGGTCAACAAAGAACAAAATTAATTAAAAATTAAAAAAAAAATTAGTATGTGAAAAATTGTATTAACATCAAATGTCATCCACTACAAGCTTAGAAAATGGACTTGAATTTGAGGTGGATGAATACAAAAGTATTTTATTAACGATTGAAAATTTGAACAAGATGTAGGGAGAATGTGAGCTAATAGTAGGAATTAAAAAAAATATCCTTCAAAAGCTTCAGAAGTTAACTTATTTAATATAGATATAACTAGAAACATATTTCTAGAAGCATAAGCACTTCGAAGCATTTTCAATAGGATAATGCAAAAGTCTGTTTACAAATTCAACTTATATTTTTTAAGAAAATAAGTGAAATAATTTATTAAATTAAAAAAATTTAAAAACATTTTAAAGGTAATTTCTTTTTCGAAGTTTTGCATTTTAATTTTAATTTTAATTTCTATATTGGTGCAATTTTTTTATTTATATATTTATTGTGTATCAATGAGGAAATGTCTCATGTAGTCGCTTCATGTTGTTGTTTATCTCTAGAAACCGTCATGGCTTCAGCTTTTCTTTTGTGTGTAGTTGTGGCACTCATGTTCGCCGGAAGTCAGTCGGAATCAATGTCCAAATCCTGCAGTTTTGTGAATGGCAAAATGCAGTGCGAGGAGCAAAGAAGCCAAGGAAACATCGCCATGTCATCCTCTCAGGCTGGTACAGGTAGCGGTGGTGACTACATGAGAACCGCTGCTGGCACTGGAAATACCGGAACTGGATCTTTCAGTTCTTCCCAAAGTTCTAGCGGTAAGTTAGATTCCTATATAATGTCTGATGCTTTCATTTATACAAAATTCAACGACGTCTTTAAATTCCTCGTGGTATATTTCTCTGACATGCACATTTTCATGAATGAAGTATTGCTATTACTAGAATCAAGTTGCGTTCAAGTGCTGTTAATAAAAACGAATGGCAGTTCTCATCTAAGAAGAAAGGAAACGTAGACATAACGTATGTTTGCAGAATACATACAGAAGAAGCCTCTTAAATGATAAGCGTAATGTATTTCGTTACAGAAAATTACTTAGAAAGACATCAGGTAGTAATGTCAAATATGTTTGTATTATGTTACACTAATTATATGATGCTTGTCAATGATTATGGTGAACACATTTATTATGGTTATTTAGCATGGTCCAAATCTACGAATATATAATTGCTGATACTAAAAATTTTGTTTGTAATTTATTAAATGCCCACTGTACCAATGGTAGATTTGTAAAATTTATTTTCCCAAAAGAACCACTTTACAGTTCTGGAATTTTTCACAAACGTACTCGTACAGCTCTTCTCAGTACGACAGTGCATAATCAGTAGTTGCTACTGCAAAATACTAAGAACGTTAAACACAAGTGAATTTAAAAAGCCTCAAATGTCTTATGTTCTCCCAATGATCTCTCGGTCCTCTAAGCTTGTAGAGACATTAGGTATTTTTTGGAAGCAGGCAAGATGAAAAATGAGCAACCGCCTTCGCCGGGAATTGAACCATGGAACTCTGGAATACCGGCACAGTGTGCAGACCACCACACTACGAAGGCACGCAAAAATGGTGGAACCATGGAACTCTGGAATGGTGGGAGGAATACCTTATATACTCCCCCTTTTAAAGGGCGACTGGGGTTTATAGGGGACCCAATCACCAAATCCTGGGTGAGGAGAATCATCATCCCTTTTAGTTCGGGAGCCACTGTAGAGATATTAGATATATTTTTTGAAGGAGAATTGAAAAATCAACAACGCCTTCGCCTGGAATCGAATCGCGCACCTCTGGAATACCGGCTCAGTGTGCTGACCACCACACCACGAAGGTACGCTAGGAAGGCGGGAGAAATACCTTATATACTCCTCCTTTTAAAGGACGACTGGGGTTTTTCGAGGACCCAGTCGCCAAATCCTGGGTGGGGAGAAATCATCATCCACCACCCTTTTAGTTCGGACATGTTGTACCTTTTAGTTCGGGTTGTAGAGACATTAAGTGTATATATATATATATATATATATATATATATACACTTAATGCTTCAAATATATATATATATATTTGAAGCTTCAATATATATATATATATATATATATATATATATATATATATATATATATATATTTGAAGCAGGCAAGATGAAAAATTAGCAGCAGCCGCCTTCGCCGGGAATCGAGCCACGGACTTCTGGAATACCGGCCTAGTTTGCAGACCACCACACCACGAAAGCACGCCAAGAAGGTGGGAGAAATACCTTATAAGCTGAACTGAGGACTCATGCTTTCTCCCTCTTATATATTGGGTCATATAAAAAGTTCCTGGCGCTTTTTTTGGTACACTTTTTAACAAAATTTTCTTTATTGAAAACCAATTTTAATCAACTGCATATTGACCATTATTATCTATGGTCTTTGGCCATATTTTGGGTAGCTTCATAATTTCATCGGTGTAGAACTTCTGTGGTTTATCGACGAAAAATTTGGCCAAGTGATTTTCAGCGGTGCTTCGGTCGGCCAATTTTTACTATCAAGAGAGTTTGGTAGAGACCAAAACAAATGGTAGTCAGATGGTGCAAAGTCCGGGCTGTACGGTGGGTCCATCAAAACTTCCCAACCAAGTTCCGTCAATTTGTTCAAAGTCATCAAAAATGTGTGTAGCCGCGCATTGTCATTGATGGAACCTTTTCTGTTGGCTAATTCTGGTCGCCCTTTCTAGACTGCTTCGTTCAAACGGTCGACTTGTGTACAGTACAGGGACGAACTGATGATTTTTCCAGGTTGCAGCAGCTCGAAATGGACAATTTCCTTCCAATTTCGAAATCGAAATTTTAGGAATGGAACCAAGCAAACCACTGCTGGGTCCTTCGCTGACTCAGAGCATTCTCACCGTATATTTCATAAATTTTTCGGTCTTTTTTTCAAGCGTTTTTGCCCTTTTTATAGTAAAAGAGCATCACATACCGTATTTCTTCAGATATTTCACTCATTTTTCAAATCAATATAACTTTTGACACGAGCAACAAATTAGAAAACTATCTTCACAAACAATAGAAGCTGAATGTCACCTTTTAAGCACATATTCGTTTGAGACAATCGGGTGAGTGCTGCCGGATATACAGGCATCAATACCATCTAGTGGTAAAAACGCGCGGAGAGTTTTTATATGACCCAATAGTTTTTGCTCGTCCGCCGAGAAATTTCCAGTATCATCGATTTTTCAAAATTGCTGGAAGGCATATACAGTTCCAGTTACATAAGGCCAGATACAGTTACAGTAACATACAGATCGGACCAGTTACAGTTATACACTCAAAACACTAGGGCGGGGCTCCACTGTTCACTGTTACGTGTATATTAGGATTTAATACCACGCCACTAGAAAGTCTATCGGCGATGTAGCTCTTCACACAGCCCGGTTCTAGACTTGGCAGTACCCGTACGGTCCCTGCCGAGCCTGAACGGACCATAGGATGAACCTATGGTTCTAGTCCTGTGAAGAATAATTATATACCCAATGAATCGAAGCTGTCAGGACACAAGTCCAGCCAGTGGTCTGGTAGAACCCCGGGTCTCCTCCCAAAAATGGTCGGTTCCGGAAATCCACACCAGTCGATCCCCTGGGATGGGTTGCCCAGCGTCATTAGTCTATACGAGCCAAGGCCTAAACCAAGGCACCATATAGTTTCCAGCGGGGCCACGAGGAGGCTGACGCTGAGCTGTGGGAGACGCAAGCAGGCGCACATGAAGCCATTCCCACTGTCCCTGCACATCGATCAAACGCGGGTCTCCTACCTTCCGCCACTGCCTACGACGATCTCCCGCGCACGGTTCACCCGCCTACGGTGGTTTCCAGCCGGTTCCGGACATCCGACTCCCAGGTCAGGGATACGGCAGTTCGGTCCTCGGATCAAAAGCCAGGTCTCCTCCTGCTAGGCAGTCGGTTCTGGACATTTGTCCTCGGGAGGCCGAACGCCACACGCCAGTTACAGTTATACGGGGATCGGACAAAATGTCGCCAGATGGCCACTGAGTTTGGCGACTTTTGGCAGTTTCTCACATAATTTAGAGACAATAATTAGCCTCCAAAATCATCGCCAATTTGGCGAGATAGTCATTTACTTCAGTGTTAAATGGACTTGTAGCTTATTTTTCCGACAAACCTGTGCATTCCTGAGGCCTGTCATGGCATTACACAAGAGATACTACAATTTATATATAATTTCCTTAAAATTATTTACATATATATGTGTGCAAAATTCGTAAAAATATATATACAAACAAAAATTAAACAAAATTCGTAATAGTATTTCGGATATGAGCTTTTTGTTTTTCTTTTTTTTTTGGGGGGGGGATATTTTATTTATAATACATGATAATATTGTAGGGTTCTACTCTATCTAAAAGCTTGCGCTACAGTCATGAAGATCCTTTTAGACTGATAGCAAATTATTCCTGAGTGTGAAATAATCACAAAGTCGGAAGAAAGTTAAAATAACCTTTTTATTTAATCTTAAAGTAAACAGAAAGGCGCGGCTTGTGGTAAAAAAGAGCGTTCTCTACATTGAAGGTCTTTAATTTAATATGAAAGTTAAATATAAAATGTCGATACCGTAGTCGGGAACTGCAAATAAGATAAGACTAATTAAGCTAGCTCAGATATTTATGGGGCGTATTTTTAAACGTCGACTAGCAAAACGCTAAATCCAGAATACAACTTAGGCATACCTGACCATATTAAGTAATAGAACGAGGCAACTGCCAGGAGCTCTAAATTAAAGCGCTTCAAAACCGTCAACTTAAATACACGAACAACTAATTTGCCTTCTGATGAAGATTACGGAAAGGAGAAGTTATAATAAAGGCTTAAATCACAATAATTAGCTAACTAACGTAAAATACCGAATAATATCCATCTCTCTTTCGCATTAATTTCAATGAAACAAGGCCCAAATACATTTCAAGCGATAACAGGTTTTTAGGTTGTAACTGGAAAAAGGCAGAAACATGCCGTTTCTTTTCGAAATATGTTAGGCACTTTTATTGCAATTAAAATGAAAGAAAGGTTGAACTTTGGCACCCATTAAATTTCATTTTCGCTAAAAAGTTAACTGTTAAAGTTCAGCTTTAGCATTTATAATAAATATAACAATAAATAATTTATCTACATATATTTTGCGGTAGAATTGTATGAGCTAACTACCATTCATTAGTATTTCTTATAATAATGAATGGTAGTTATTAATGTTAATGCAACAACGAATTAAAAAACTCTTTATTTTTATCAATTATCGTATCTATTTCGAAAAGTTCGCAGTTTTTTAACGCCCATACCGTTTAATGAACTTCCAGTTTTATGAAATTCTGCAGTCATGCACACTCATAGAATCAAAAGTCTGTATGCTGGCAATATGAAAATTTTAAAAAAATTGTAAGGTTACTATTTGAAACTAACCAGTTAATTATAACTTCAGCCTTTTCTGTAACTTCTCCTATCCGTTTCCTCGCCAGAATGCAAATCAGTTAGATAGTATTTAAACTGAGGTTTGGGGATTGTAAGATAGGACGTTCTTCTGCCTCTCGCGGACACGTTACTTTAGTTCTGCCATCTCTGATAAGTTTGTAATTATTCGACTTTGAGTTATCGCTGCCGATTTACGAATTGTTATGCCGGTTCGAGCTTTCTATACAGCTTAGATTTAAGTATAATTGTGCACTAATTTGAGTACTAATTTACATTTTAAATTTGAATTTGATTGTTACTTAGTTAC